ATTTCTCTGCTCACATCCAGGGCACTGCATGGTTCTGCCCTGCTCTCCCAGATCCCCGTCAGGTGCTCCCCTATGGGCCTCTCCATCCTCCATGAGTATGAGCTTACACAGTCATTCATCCCAGGTGCACCATCACTGATAACTCCCTCTGCATCTCATACACACTGGGCTGCTCCCCTACTAAAATCTTCCAAAGCCACATGTTACACATTCCTCTTCTCCGCCATGCTCCCAGCTGTTTTGTGCTGTTTTGATCTGTCTGTTTGCATAGCACTGTCAGACTATATGCATGAAAGGTGTGTTGTCAACATGAATGATTTTGACAATGTTTCTGTAAAGAACCTGCCTCGGTTATCAGTGGACAGAAAGAAGCTTGACGCTCCAATGGTGGATGGGGGTCAGGCTCTTACTTGAATCTTTGCCAGAGGGGACTTGTGTACATTGGCAAAGAAAAGACGCCCATTAAAATGTGACCAGGATCTCTGTCAATGTAAAGGAGATGGGAGTCTCTACTAACAAATGATGACAGAAGACAGTGGTGCTATATAAGAGGTGGGAGCCTACCATGGGACAGAAGTACAAATGTACATTATAAAGAAGATTCTTTTAAGCAAAACTTAGGTTAATCTAATCGTTACTTTTTCTTAGTCACCAGCTTTAGTTTAGAAAGAGGTTCGTTCAACCGGAAGTGGCACATTGGAAAAGGGCACTTGGCTGTCCCACTCACCTCTTCCTGGAGGACTACATAGGATCCGCTATTCTTGGCGTTGCCCAACAAGTTGGCCCAAACTGATGCTCTTCAATAAAGTATGATTTCAGAATTACTTTTTCACTTAACCAGATAAGAAAGCCGAACACCCATAACTCTTCTGCTGGACGATAGTGGCAAAGTAGCTGGAACTCGAAAAGGGAAGACAAACTAAGGAGACAGAAAGCACTTTTTTGTGGTAGGACAGAACTTAGAAAATTCATTCCTAACAATAAAAGTACAATACTGAATATCCATTTCAAACATTGCTTCAAAGGATGGATTTGATAATTCAGATTGGAGAAATAGTTTTGCTTCTGGTTGCTTCTCCAATCTTTTCCCACCAACTTTCTGTATTTTATTGTAGATGTTAGATAGACAAACTTTGAGAACATGTGTGGTATTTGTTATTCAGAGTCTAGCTCAGGCCAAGATAAGTGGGTATGATGCACATTTTTCCGATTTTTTTTAATAATCCTCCAACGAAGATTGGACCCAACTTTGCCTGCACTCCTTATGTTATCCAAACAGCTTTGCCAATCTTCACATGCTATCTTTGGCGAGAGTTCCCTTGAAAGATAACTGGAAATATGCTTTTTTGTTTGTTTAATATCTAAAGAAAAACTGATACAACTGAGGTTGGCTTTATCAGCTCAAACATTTTTGGATGACTTGGTCTTTCCCTGATCCCCTCACATTCCCTGTGAAATTGGAGATTCCCCATTGTTTAAACACATTGATTTAGTTTGAACTGTTTTTTACTTAACTAGTCAAAACAGTATTTCATGGGCATTACTTGATGTGTTCAAATACCCAGGTGGAACTTTTATATTGATATTTTTCCCTTAAAAACAAGAAATCATATCTTTCTCCAAAAAACAAACATTCCATTGGCAAGCAGCTAAAACCACACACCCTAAATCCTTTGTAATGCTAGTTTTCTCTAATAAGGTCACTTGGCCCACAAAAAAGTTTTGATGAATATAAACAGTCCAAGCCTCTTTCTACCTTTTCTCGATATTCAGTTTCTAATGTTTAGAGTCTCGTCTACCCTGTGCTTTGCCTTTGCATTCTCAGATTGTTGTACTTTCTACCCCAAATAGCTGTACAATTCCATTTAAATCCTATCCATTTTTTTTTACAGCTGAAATAGGACCCCTGAGGTCATTTCTAGACTAATCCCACTGCCCAGAATGTGAGAATGTCCTCATCACACTCTCTCCTCCGATTATTTTTAAACCCATTCTTCAAAGTAAAAAAAAAAAAAAAAGGCAAGGAACAGAGCCATAGGAGCAGAAATGCTAGAACTTGCCTTTTTCTTTTCATCTTTCATAGGAATGGCGTTTTTAAACAACAGCTTATGTCAGACATTGAACAGACTCCACATGGGAATGAATGTTTTGATTAAAAGTTATTAAATATCTCTAGTTCCTTGGAATTCTGCCTGAAGCTAGAGATATTCTTAGCTGCAGGTCTTGTGCCTTCTTTGACTAGATAGAAAAATGGCTCAAAATCTAGAAAGAATAAATGGTGCTCTTAAAATAGTTACTGATTGTATCGGTGTTTGTATCACAGGCAGTCCTGATGCATTGAGAATTAGGAATTAGAAAAGAATGCTGGTGATGAGAAATGTGTTAAAGGAGCATCTTTCCATAGCTCTATCATTTCCACGGATTCTCAGCCTTTTGGTTAAAATCAAGTTTAGGGTTCTATCTTCATAAGATGGATCTTAGGAAGAGAATTCTGCACAGTCTGTATATAAAGTTTCTTAACTTGCATTTGTGTTTAGTTCAGCAAGAGTTAAACAAAACGCATTTAAGTAAGTTGGTAGTTAAAATATGATCTGATTTTTTAAAATGCTTTCCATGTAAAATAATGGAGACAGACTCTTTTAGCACCTAAATGTGAATGTGAAAGGGAAAAGAAAAATGTTATTCCAAGATACAAGTAGAATTTTGACTCAATCAATTATTTTCATTTCAGAGGTAGTATTACTCTCATACATTCTCTTGTATTTAAATATCAGCGTTATGAGGCAAAATATTTACAGAGAATCGATTTATTTTTCCAGCTTTCCAACGGCATTTCATGCATTTAGATATTGATGCGACATAGTTAGAGGTTGGGCCCTCCGGACCTGTATTGTGTGATAGCATTGTGCTACTGTCATCACAAGATTCCATTTTTTCCAACCCCCAAGGTCCTGTCTGTACTTGTTTACAGGTCATCTGGATAGTAACTAGTATGTGTTCAATGGCTTGAGTGTTATCACAGTAACCTTGGCAACCAAGCTAGCTCTGATTTCAAAACCTCACATGCTGTATCATAAAATTAGATAACAGAATTGACATTTAGCTACATGTCTGTCATATAAATTAAGCTCTGAGAATGATTTCCTTTATAGTCATGTGCCTTCATATGGAAATAGAAGGCACCAATTAGGACAATTTGATACAAATACATGCTTTTCCACCTTTAGGTGCTATGCATAGTCCCTCATTCTTTCTCTGTGATATCGAACCTCAGATATTGCCATCCTATTCTCACTGTGCCAAAATTCCCGGTGACTTTATTTCATGATCAGGACAAAGCTCATAGCAAAGCTTCGTCAGATACCCGATATAAATAGGATTATGAATAATAGAAAACTCAACCTGTAAAAAAATGTAAAATTCAAAGCATTCTTGGCTTTACTGGATACTGTTACTTATGCTGATTGGAAGTGAGACTGAGCACAGAATATTCCACTAACTAAATCAGAATCCCAAAGACAAGACATGCTTTCCTTTCATTTATAAATTTATGCATATTTTTACACATATTATCCTAGCATCCAAGAATGTTTGATAATATCTTTATTTCAAGGAGATTCTAAACATGCAGATTAATACAGTCATCTACTATGAGTCCTAGGCTCTCTTTTATAAATTGGAAATATTTTAATCTTGAGATTTTTCCCCTATATTTTCTGTAGTGTGGTGCAGTTTTCCTCAGATATAAATTTAAAGACTCAACTTGTGAATTACATTTAATCTAAGCACCCTGCAGTTTTCTGCATTGCAAATGATTATTTTTAGAAATTTTATGGTGGTCTGCATATATTTGTTTGTCTTCATTGATATGTAGCGGAGAAAGCTCATTAATGATTTAAAAAGAAAGTGTTTTGATTCATCAACTTGATTCTTCTCATTACATAAACAATAAAGGCAATATTAACATCTAATAAAATCGTAAGTGTTTATTTCTGAATTTAGGTGCGAGACAGTCTTGTATCCGTAGGCATAACTTTTCCTATTCTCTATATTCTTCTGCCTCAATGTTTTGAAAGTCGTCATTCAGCATTTTTAACCTAGAATGATGGTTAAAAATTCCCATTAAAGACCACTTTTAGCAGCTGCCCATCAAATACCATGGTTGAACAACCGTCTTGTAAAACAGATCTTTGCCTTCTAGAATGGTAAGTTGTTATGTAAAAGTAGAAGACATTTACATCAAAATTGACTAGAGCACTTTTTCTTCTCCCGGTATACTTGCTATATGTCACATATAACATTTGAGAAACCAGCTTCCAATATTTTCTCTTCGTATTAGCCATCCAGCCAATTCTTGCCCAGATGTATGTTAAATCCTGCCTTCTTGCCTTATACCTACTAGATGCAAAACTCCCACAAATTCAGGATTTTTCTTTTCAGAAACAGATAAGTGGCCACGTTCTCTACCTATGTTCATTAAGTGGGAAGAAGGGCAGAAATCCTTCTGTGTATTTGCTGACTCTGTGCAGCAAATACTTGTTACACTTTCAGTAATGTTCAAACTGTTTGCTTTATCTCATTGGGTTGAGTCATCATCACCTTTATGTTTACACCAGTAAAGGGTAGTCTTTATTCTTTTCTTTTATCTTGAAACTATTTCTTGCGATGAACAGAAATAGTTCAGCATGTTGTGGTTCTAGGACTGAGAGAGATTTGGGTGACCATCTCCATTGTAAAATATCGTCATTGGAAACTTCGATGCACAAGCATTCTGTGGCGTGATATGGAAATGAACCCTTAGGCTATGTCGATGCTGGAATGTGGGGGCTTAGGCTGTTTGCATGACTTTGAGGCGTGTTTTAGTATCTGGGTTTTTTTTTTTTAATTATGATATGATAGGGCATAGATGGGTTGGAGGGAGAGAGGGGGGAGGAACTATTGGTGAAAAAAAAATACTAAGTTAAAAGGCAATTTGAGCTCCTTTTGTGATTTCCTTTTAGGTCCGATGTTGTGGTCCTCTGTTTTTCGATTGCCAATCCCAATTCCCTAAATCATGTGAAAACCATGTGGTATCAAGAAATCAAGCACTTTTGCCCTCGTACACCTGTTGTCCTCGTTGGCTGCCAGCTAGACCTCCGCTATGCCGATCTTGAAGCTGTTAACCGAGCCAGGCGTCCTTTAGCAAGGTAAGTAAGCCAAAGGACTCTGTGTTTCTTTGCACCAGCCAAATTAAAATTTAGAGGTAGCAGGTGTCTCTTTAGCTCAGCATTCTGTTCTTCAGTGGTTCTGGGATCCCAGCAACCAGCCACATACTTTAAGTCAGCCTATTACTCACAAGGGGTGCACTGTGACCCCGTCTCATGCTCACCATCATCTCTTATGTCAAAACTCATTTTTGTAAAATGGTGGGCCAGTGCTTGAAGCAAAATTCTCTAATTGTGAATGGTATGTATAAAGGTGCTTTGAAATTTGTAAAACATTAGACAAATTGTTAGCTACCCATAACGTCACTCTTGAAATTATGATTATAATAATTACACTCACCGTGATCAACCATAATTCTTGGCCACAGGGAAGATCTATATATATATATATCCAAGTATTTTTAACCTTCTTCATATTCATCAGTTAAACCTGTAAACCTGTAAATTTTCCTCAAGATAATACTGTCCATTTTTAAAACTCATTTCAACTTGTAATTGCCAAAAAAAAAAAAAAAAAAAAAAAAACAAAAAAAAAAAAAAAAAAAAAAAAAAAAAAAAACTCCT